TTTTAAAATGTATTTTTGACTTTTTTTAAAAACTTTTGAACAAAAAAACTGCTAGAAGTTAAAGAAGAAATATTTGTGAAAAAAAGATATAATAATGCTAATTGAACAGTACTGATACAAGTGGGAAATTAGCTATACTATTCATGGTCAAACTACTCAAAAAGTTAGTTCATAGTTGTACATAAAAGTATAATTCCTAAAGCAAAGTTCTGGGACAGTATTAGGTTTTTGTGTATAAAGACATTGAATATTTTATAAATTTACTTTAACATCACTTTGAAAAGTGTTTGGGAATAAAATGACTGCAAGTATTCACACAGTACCCCCAATCAAATAAAAGGATTAAAGGCGCTACAGTTAAATATCCTGAAACAGTAAAGTTCCGAGTAAAATCCAAGGTCTCCTGTGTCTTTCAAAATTATACATCAATCATCTAAATGCTTATAGGTGAAACAGGTAAAATGAAATGTGTCATTTTTAAAATGGGTTCATGCATTCATTGACAAATTCTGACATAGAATCACTTCAGGTCTTGAGGTGAGGTCTTCTACCCAGTTTAATGAACAAGACGTAGTTCCAATCTCCACATACAGCTGAATAGGCTGTCAATCAACTAGAAAAACAATGGAATCCTGTTCCTTTAATACAGTACCATCTCTACAGGAACCCCATAGAACAACACTTCAGATTTCTCGCTCAATGCATACAAGGCCTTTAGCACACCTCACTTAGGGAAAACAAGATAGAGGCAGCAAGTTGTTGCCATTATTTTAAACAACAAAATACATGAACTGCAGGTACAGTAAGTTTCAAGGAGAAACAAAGAAAATGTTGATAGGAGATTCTGATGGAAAGGATGGCCTGTATTAAATTAATGACCAAGACCATTGATCATTTCAACAACTACTACATATGAATAAATCACACTGAAGCAATGGAGAGAAGCATGACCTGCATGGAGTGTCAAACAATGTAGCCTGAGTTGTCAGATTAATTCTACGAAAGCTGCCACAACTGCCAGCCTATTTCTAGTGTGAACAGTGAACTTTAGATTAACATAGCCCCATTTTCATCTTGTGATTCAAGCTAAAGTAGACTAATAATCAAGCTTTTAATTTAAACAGGATAAAAGTTTATTATAAGTCAACTCTGAAGGTACCCTAGGAATAAAGAGATGGAATTATTTGCAAGAAATTATCAGTATCAAGTTTAAAACCAATGCAGTAAAACAAAGGGAATAATTAGATAAATGTCTGTCCTGAAGATTTATAATGTATTATTGGAGAATCTGGATTATAAATTGGAGGAAACATGGATTTTAATTTCTCAGTTCTCCATGGATCTGACATTTTTTCTAAATAAAATGCTCAGAAAGTAACGTTGAATATTGCTGAAAGAAAACAAATTATAGCCATGCCAGTTGAGCAAGATGATTCAATATGGAGATAGTAGTGACTCTACGCTTAGGTTTGAGGCCCATTGCTCACATTCCTTGTTGCTGAAGAGTTGTGGGCAACTGGGGATGGGCAATAACATGCTGCTTGTCCCTGCCTTCACTTCTTAACCCTGCACATCATTTATATTTTAAGTAATTATCCAATGCCATTTTGAATCACTCAAGTGAATATGTCTCAACCGTATTTCCAGGCAGGGCATTCTATGTCTTAACTACTTGCTTTCTGGAAAGGTAATTTCTCACCTCACAGTTACTTCTTTTGCAAATCTGTGCCCCCTGGTTCCCAATCCGTTGATAATTCAGAACAGTTTCTCCCCCTCCAACCTGTTCCGACCCCTCATTATTTTGAAAGCTTCTATCAAATCTCGTATTAGCTACTCCTCTCCAAGGAAAACAGTCCCATCGCTCTTCAAGGTTTCCTAATAACTTATGTGTCTCATCCCTGGAACCATTGTCAAAAGCCTCTTTTTCAGTCTCTCAAAGCATTCAAATCCCTCATATAGGTGTGACACCCAGAAATGTAAACAATATTCCAGCTGATATTCAACCAGTGTCATCTATAAGTTCATCATAACCTCCCTACATTTGTACTCTATGACCCTGCTTATGAAGCCTGGAATACTGTGTACTTTATTAACTGCTCTCTCCACCTGCCCTGCCACCTTCATGATTTATGCACATATACAACCAGGTCTCTCTGCTCCTGTACACCTTTTAAATGAGTACATTTTTATTTAAAATGGTTTCTCCCCGCTCTTTGTACCAAAATGCATCAGCTCACACTTCTCTATATTGAACTTCATCTGTCACGTATCCACTCATACCACCAATGTGTCAATGTTTTCTCAAAGTTCTATACTGTTCTCTTCATAGTTTACAATTCTCCCAAGTTTTGTGTCATCCAAATTGGCCCCCGCACACCAAGACCACTTGTTCAATATCAGGAAATTCACCCTTGCACATTGAAATCGTTAACACATATCAGGAAAAATAAGGGACCAACTCCTGAGGAATTTGACTGCAAAACTTGTTCCAACCTGAAAAATACCTATTAACCATTATTCTGTTCCCTATCCCTGGGGGTGTGCATGCGCTTGCACGCGCGCAGTGCATAAGAGGGTTTTTATAAGAGATTACAGTTTTAGTTGGCAGCGTTTTGTGCTGACAGTTCCTAATTGATTATCTATAACTTGAGTCTAATTGCTTGTAACAAATAGCCATTCTTGTTAAGTACAGAAACGTGGTCTTTGTTTTCTGTTAACCTTGATCTGAAAGCCAGATAGATTGGGGAAACTTTTGTATACTTTTTAAAATCTTTAACTTTTGTGACGACTCTAGGTATAGAGAGCTATGACTTCCAGCATATTATTCAAAGTGAGGTACAACAAGTGAGGCTACTAATTGTGGATGGCTACAATTTTGCTGCAGCTGATGAGCCACAGCATTTAATGGACATCCAGGTTTAAGCCATTAGATCTGTACCAAATCTATTCCCTTTAGCATGGTTGTAGTGTCACAAAGCAGAACGCAGAGTACAAGGACTGTGAAATGGTTATTTCCATCAATACTGCAATGCTAGGGAGAAGTCAAACAGGTTTTTGGAAATCTATTGGTAGTTCTCTTACTGGCTACTGCAGACCCATTCTGGCAGAAACATCCTTCATATTTGAATAGTCAACACAGTGTGGAGCTAGAGGAATACAGTAGGTTAGGCACCATCAGTAGAGCAGGAAAGTCGACGTTTCAGGTTGGGACCCTTCATCGGGACTGGGGAGGGGGAAGGGAGCTGGGAAATAAATAGAGGGAGGAGGAGTGGGGCTGGGGGAAGGTAAGTGTGATGGTGATAGGTGGATGCAGATAGGGATAGTGGGGATTGGTCAGTGGGAAGGGTGGGGCAGATAGGTGGGAAAGAAGTTGGACAGGTTGGGTGAGGTCAAGGAGGCAGAGATGAGAGGGAGGGTTGGACAAGGGATGAGGCTGGCGGTGGGGAGATTTTGAAACTGGTGAATTCTACATTCAGGTCATCGGGTTGTAGGCTCCCATGGTGGAATATGAGGTGTCGTTCCTCCAGTTTGCACATGGAGTCATTGTAGCACTGGAGGAGGCCCAGGATTGACATGTCACCAAGGGAATGGGAGGGGGCAGTTAAAATGGTTAGCAATCGGAAGGTGGTGTTGATTATAGCGTACAGAGCTCAGGTGCTCTTCAAATCAGTCACGAGGTCTGCATTTCATCTCACCGATGTACAGGAGGCCACATCGGGAGCAAAGGATACAGCAGGCCAGGTTGCAGGATGTACAGGTAAACCCCTATCGGACATGGAAGGTTTATCTTGGGCATTGGATGGAGGTGAGGAAGGGGGTGTAGGGGCAGGTGTGGCATTTCCTGCAGTTGCAGGGAAAGGTGCCAGGTGTAGCGGGGTTGATCGGGCGGGTGGAGTGGATGAGGGAGATACAGAGTGAGCTGTCTCTACAAAAGGCAGATAGGGGTGGGGAGGGAAATATCTCTTTGGTGGTTGGGTCAGATTGCAGCTAGCAGAAGAGACGGAGGATGAGGTGCTGGACACGGAGTTTGGCGGGGTGGTATCTGAGGACCAGAGGAACTCTGTCCTTATTTTTGTTGAGGAGGAGACAGTTTGAGGGCAGAAGTGTGGGAAATGCAAGAGATGCAGTTCAGGGCATTCTGGATCAACACAGGGGGAGGAAGTTGCGGTCCTTGAAGTAGGACGACATCTGGGATGTCCAGGAGTGGAACACTCCATCTTGGGAGCCGATGTGGCAAAGGCGGAGGATTTAGGAATAAGGGATCGCATTGTTGCAAGAGGGTGGGTGAGAGGTGTAGTCCAGGTAGCTTTGGGAGTCGGTGGGTTTGAAATAAATGTCGGTGCTGAGACCATTACCGGAGATGGAGATGGAGATTGAGATGGAGATGAAGAGGTCCAGGAAGGAGAGAGAGTTATCGGAGATGGTCCTGGTGAATTTGAGGTTGGGATGAAAGGTGTTGGTAAAGTTCATGAACTGTTGGTCAGTATTCGGCTCCCTCAACGCCACCATTTATTTATCCAACAGCTTGCGACTTCTCTGATCACAGGCTGAACCTATTAGCAGGGAGCAAAACAACCTGTGACTGGAGAAGCGACTCCTTACCAATTCTAGCTACTCTTCTTACACTGGCAACTTTTCTCTGATCAGTCATCCCCAAGATTGAATTTTTCTGGGCATTTTGTCAGCTCAAAGGCAATTCCACCCAATATTCCAATACACTATCAGCCTTGAATGGTGGACTATCAGGATAAGCTAACAAATAACAGGTGCAGTTTAACAGAAAAATGTGAAGGAATACACAGAGGAATTAAGGAATAATACTCTATTCAATTAAAGTAAAACTATTTAAGATAAGAGGGGACATTTGACATATGGCCACACAGATTAAAATCTAATACCTCACGCTGCTAAGAGCGCCCTAAAAGGCAAACTGAATGTTCAGTTTTGTAACTAGAGGCATAGAACATTAAGTAATCACATGCAATTAGCAATATACGTACCTTGATAAGTAAAATATTGCGCTTCTCCAACCGTCGAGCATTTGCTTCCTGTAGCTCACGTTTCTTCTGTTCAGAAAGAAGCTGTGTCCGCAAGTTTAAAGTATCATCCTGAAGCTGCTGTCGAGTCTTTTCCAACATTCGAGCACTGCAACAGACAGTAACCAACTGGATTAGAAAAACAAAGTGACTTAATTTGATTCCCATGAAACTACATTATTTCCTCCAATGATACAAAAGACTAGCAGGACTTGATGGACAGGGAGGTTCAGACTGTGAAACCTCTGCAATGTATTAATTTATCAAGTTGAGAACTTCACTCAATGATTCATCAGCCAATAATGGGCCTCAAACTAATAATGTACCATTCCATGGAACAGCAAGAGGGACATTGCAGTCAATTTCCCCTACAACCAAGATGTCAAGCAGAAAGACATCGAGAAGTAAATTCAACGAGGCAGTAAGTCAATTGATTTCTGTAGAGATTTATTTTCAGATTGTTACTAAACAAAATCATCAGAGACCTTAACCTGAATTCCCTTTCAGATTGAATAGAGGGGCATGGAAGATCCATGAACACAGAAGAGTTGCAAAACTACAAGGAAATGAATTCATTTTCACAGACCCAGACGCAGAGGTCCATCGTCTTTATACCTACCAACTCTCAACAGTGATGCTTTGAATTTCAATAGTGTGAACACAACCCTTGGACAGGGCTGCCCAAAGTGGGTGATGGAACCCCAATCTGGGTACTGAGCTAAAATTGTGTGGCTGCAAGACAGCAATGGCTGCTCTGTAGCTTAGATCAAGTCTCAAGAGCCATGCTCCCACTCTGACAGGTCTTCACTCCACTACTCACTGATGGGTTGCAACAAGTTTCAAGCATCAAAATAGTATCACAGTAGGCAGAAGTTTGGGAACCACAACCCAATCATTGATCATATAGTTGTCAGGGTCTCTTGCAAAAGTTAAAAAGCAACGTAAGTCAGTCAATGATTATACAAGCTCTTTTCTAAGACAGCAGAATCTTATCTGTGCACTGCCAAATAGAATTAACATCAGTATAGACTATCCTACAATCATTTAGACATGTCCAATATATATGCATACAAATTATCAGAAAAAGCAAACAACAAATAATTTGCCTGTACAAAACTCCTGAAATGCGACTTTTTTCACATTCCATTAGCACCTTGTCAAAAGATTTGGCCAGAGTAGAATTTATGAAATTTAGTTTAAAAATAAAGCTTATTTTGCTTCTTCAGTATCCAGAATGAATTAGTCATGCCTTTTCTCATTATTTCAGCCACCAAATTAACCAAGATCGGTCAGTGACCTCAGAAGAAACTGTTTTAGAACATAAATCTCTAAATTATTTTCACATTCGCAATCAATTAGGTTGCCTTCCCACCTCCATCACATGCAAGGCTCTGTTCTAAAACACATCTTTAGGCTCATTGGTTGAAGGAGATGGCAGAATCTCCGAGGAACAGTGAATACAATTTTAAACAAACTTAGAACTTATATGTTCCAATCAGTAAGCCAAGAGAACTGGCAAGGAGCCATCCAACATATAAAACAGGCAATCTAAATTTTCAGAGATAGTAGGAACTGCAGATGCTGGAGAATCTGAGATAACAAGGTGTAGAGCTGGATGAACACAGCAGGCCAAGCAGCATCAGAGGAGCAGGAAAGCTGATGTTTCAGGCCTTCTTTTCTGAAGAAGGGTCTCGGCCTTGTAATCTAAATTTTCCCTCAGTTTATGATCTGCACACATTATTCAGATTAAGGAGCTCAGAAACTGAATGGTGAAGATTTGAAGACGTTAATGTTCAGGCCTATTAAAGCATTATATTACAGAAGCTTTGTGATTCCCACTCAAAATACTTTCTTCTGTACACCATTTTGTGTAAGGCAAAGAAAACAGAATTGTACAAATTGCAGATCTGTTAAAAGTGCTTAGAGATAGACACCCACTTGAGCAGTGAAGTATGTTCATTCTGCAGTGACATCCTGAAGTATGTAATTTTTGGGATCAAGATCTTCCTATGACCAATGCTCAAACCTAGTAATCATACATCTGATATGTTATATATATTCCAAATAATAGGGAACGAATAAATTCCCATCATAAAATTCTCCAGCTATAGCCTGGGCAGTAGTGTTAAATGAAGGAATCCCCAGATTAAAAACAATTACCAACCATAAACATATTGTCAAGTTCTCCAGGACAACAGAACTGAAATTACACTCCGCTCAAGATCAAAAATCACATGACACCAGGTTATAATCCAACAGGGTTATTTGAAAACACAAGCTTTCAGAGCCTCACTCCTTCAGGTGTTAGTGAGAGAGGTAGTATCAAAACACAGAATTTATAAGTAAAAGATAAATGGGTCACACCACTGATGGGGATGTACTAAACAAACCTAAGAAGCTGCGAAATCTTTAATCAATTAGAATGTTTTCATTGATTAACATGTATATGTAAATCCCCAAATTCCTTTCAAGTCACTGTCCTCAGAGAACTAAAGGTTTTATCAGTGTAAAAAAAGGTGACATTTTAGATCAGACAATGCATGTTATAAAATGGAGTAGAATTTCTGAAGAATTTGAACTGTCTCTCATCTAGTTACAAAGTCAAAATCATTGTGTAGAAATCATTAAATTGAGGTTGAAAGGCTGAGGTAGGAAAAACAAAACAGCAAAGGATGGGAAGAACGAAATGAGGACTATGAGTGGAAAAGAAATTAGTAAACCAATCTAGGTAAAAATAAAGTTTAAAAAAACTAAATAATTAAACTAATTAGCTTGGAAGAGTCGGATGGATGCGGATATAAATAGTGAAGGGTAGAAAAGATTAGGTAGAAATAAATGAGTTGGACTGATCCCAATGAAAAGTATATATGAGCCCAACTGGAAAACAAATAAATAATGAACAACAAAACTGGAAAATAAGTGAGTGAGTGAGAAGGAACAAAGCCAGCTAAAAGAAATAAGTGAAGAGGATGGAACGTACTTCAAAGAAATAAATGAAGGAATATGAACAGCCTGGCTGCAAATAAACTATTTCAACTAAACAAAACTGTGGCTGTGGATCTAATGGACACGGATAATGTTTGGTAGCACAGAGGAAAAAGGGATAAATTCAGCATGGCAAGGTGTGTAACCTTAATCAGCAAGAAACAGCACTAAAAAGGTTAAAGGAACAAAAGGCCAACTTTAACATTCATCACTAAATACTACAAAATAATGCAACTGGAGGTAATGGTAAATATAAGCAACAGTATCAGAATCACAGTGATACCTAACCCAAAGTAACAGATGAAGAAACAGCTTACTAAAAGTCACAGCATTAAGTATGGGGAAAGTTTCATAAACAATAATTGGCAGGGGAAAAGTAAACAAGCACTTGAAGAGAATTAAGTTTTTGAGGAGACCTAGTCTAATTTGTGAAAGGCAGATCGTGCTTGACTAATCCAATTGAAATTTGTTGGAAGTAGTAGAGAAATTGAAGAAGGAAATGCAATGGACAAATGGATTTGAGAAGGCATTTGACGAAGCATAGCATAAAAGGCTAGTTAATTGTCACTCACAGACAGGAGGTTCAGTACCAACTTAGAGGAAAAACCTGACTTAAGAACAGAAGACAGCAGGTCACGTTACACCGAGTCCCCGATTTATGAACATTTGTATTTACAAATATGCTCACTTACATGGTTTTAATTTTAAAGACCCAACAGACAAACATTTCCTGTACTTGTGACCGGCTGCTTTACATTGTCCTGCATTATGTTCCAACTTAAGTACAAATTGACTTGCAGATCGATTCCAGAATGGATCCTGTTTACAATCCAGGGAGTATTTGTAAATGAGATAAAAAGGTGTAGAGCTGGATGAACACAGCAGGCCAAGCAGCATCAGAGGAGCAGGAAGGCTGACGTCTTGGGCCTAGACACTTCTTCAGAAATGGGGGAGGGGAAGGGGGTTCTGAAATAAATAGGGAGAGAGGGGGAGGCGGATAGAAAATGGATAGAGGAGAAGATAGGTGGAGAGGATACAGACAGGTCAAAGAGGCGGGGATGGAGCCAGTAAAGGTGAGTGTAGGTGGGGAGTTAGGGAGGAGATAGGTCAGTCCAGGGAGGACGGACAGGTCAAGGGGGCGGGATGAGGTTAGTAAGTAGGAGATGGGGGTGGGGCTTGAGGGGGAGGAGGGGATAGGTGGGAGGAAGGACAGGTTAGGGAGGCGGGAATGACCTGGGCTGGTTTTGGGATGCGGTAGGGGGAAGGGAGGTTTTGAAGCTTGTGAAGTCCACATTGATACCATTGGGCTGCAGGGTTCCCAAGCGGAATATGAGGTGCTGTTCCTGCAACCTTCGGGTAGCATCGTTGTGGCACTGCAGGAGGCCCAGAATGGACATGTCGTCTGAGGAATGGGAGGGGGAGTTGAAATGGTTCGCGACCTGAAGGTGCAGTTGTTTAGTGTGAACCGAGCGTAGGCTTGGGGACCTATTTGCAGAACACCTACGCTCGGTTCGCAAT